CCACCCAATTTTAGGGATAGTCCATGCTCAAACATATCTGTCTGCTCAGTAAGAGGGACTGTGCTTAAATCCAGTGAAGAATCAGGTGCCAGAAGATCTTCAGAGAGGAGCTGGGGGTGTTTAAGCTTCATCCATCATTGCAGCATCACAAAAGTAGAAAATGCAGGAGGAGAATCTCTGGGGAAAAAATAAACCGGAGGTTTGAGTCTGTCAGGTCCTAGCCTTACACACGGCCTGAGGGTTGGTTTGAAATAGTTTGATTTTGACATGCAGCAAAGAACTTTGTGTTTTGGATTCCTGTAGGACAGTGAGATCACAGTTGGACATAACAGGGTATGTTAATATTCTGATTTGCCTCCTAAAGAAACCAACCTGGACAAAGCCAGACTCTCGTGTCTCAGAGTTCTGGAGAACACTTCTCTGGAGGGTTTGTGCCTTTCTGGATAACCAAAATGATTAAGGCACACAGAGAACTTGCAAAGTAAGATCTCCCCGGGTCATTAGCCCAGACACTTGTGCAGCCAGAAGGGCTACGAAAATGGCCTGTGGTGTAAAAGATGATACTCTTAACTCCCTGCTATAGCTGGTACCCCTGTAGAACACTGTAATTTGATTTACTATTTGGTTTTCTGTCCTACAGTTGTTGGCAGCTTCCATACAGATCTCTTGTTTTAATGTTTATTTGCATGTTTAATTACTCTATAATAGCACAATAATTACCATGTAGTTACAGAGGAATTACATGGTTGTCTGTAGTCTGTAAACCAGTGTCAACCTCCTCTGCAAACAAATAATTATGCAGCTAACATACCTGTTTAACTTCCACAGGAATTAGCAGAGGAACAGGAGAAATGTGAAACATGCAGTTGCTGGGTTTGTCATTAAATATTTATAATTGTTTTATAAGTAGTGTGCAAAATTCTTTAGTTCCTTGATTTCTTTTCCTACCATAACGTTAGACAATACGATCTGGAACCAGGGAAAATACTGCTGTGGAATTAAAGCTGCTAAAGCCGGGCTCTGTAACCACAGGCAGTGTTACTTCAGTGTTACATTCGTTCTGCAGCTGCAGGTTGTGGTCAAACAAATGAAAGTGTTTCCAAACAACTTCCCATGTGCTCTGTCTGCAGCTGTGGATCCTGGGAGCTCTCCTGGCAGCAGGAGGGAAGCCACGAGGTGGCAGTGTGCCCCAGGAAATGGAGCGCTGTCACCTGCCCGGCGCTCCCGAGAGCAGGAATTCAGCCCGGAGATCCGGCTGGGGACACTTGGCCGCTTACAGGAGCTGAGGTAGGATTCCAAGCACCTTTTCCCTTTTAAGAGTGTCAGTTTGTTTTTCCAAGGCTAAAGAAAAAGCCGTGGGGGTGAACATCTCCACCTACTGCATTGTTTCACGCCACTGAATTTCTTCAGTGTTTGCTTCAGCTTCAAACGCTCCCTGTGGATTATTGGGAAAGCGTGTTGCCTTGTGCTTCCCCTTTCCTCCCAGGGGATCTGCTTCCCCACAGCCGGTTTCTGTACATCCAGTGTTGCTGGTGCTCAAGGTACGAGAGATGGAAAGAGCATTCCAGATTCTGACCCAGCAACCCCTCTCCTCCCCTTTGCCTGGCTTGGGGTGGGGAATGTTTCCAGACCATGATCAAGGAAGGACTGTGTTTCTTGGGTACAGCAGGACCTACTGATGTGCTGTCCAAGCAATAATGTACTGGTGATGGAGACAAACTGGTTTTATCCAGTATAAATCAAGTGGCAGGTCTGGATTATCCCCAGGGATGCTGGGAAACAAAATCCTGCACAGTTCTTCCTCCAGAAGGGTGCTGAGTTTGTTTCCAGCTGTGTTGCTTCGGGGAGGGCAAAATGGGTACTTTCAGGGTAGCTCTGGGTTCTCCTGGCACTGCAGGACCGGTGTGTGCCTGGCTGTGCCTGCTGCTGCACCTGGCACAGGAGAGGGCTGTGCGAGGCAGGGCATCCTGGTGGGATCCTGGCGGGGTGTCAGAGCAGCCTCTGGCCATCCCCTGCATTGGCTGTGGCCTGAGGAACACCACCCACAAACCACTGCTGTCAGGTCTGCCACAGCAGACCTAGTTCATCCTTAGCCTCATTTCTCTGAGGGAAGGAGGATACTTGGCTCCCTGCTTTTTTTATGAAGTCAGCCTATTTATTTGCTCTTCAGAAAGCCTCTTTACAGCCCCTTCAGGACCAGTGGCGTGTGGCTCTGGGATGGGAGGCAGCTCCAGGGCTGAGTGCTGTGCCAGGACAGCTCTCCAGCAGCGGGGATGTCTGCAGTCCGACTCTGCAAATCCCCATCTGGGGGAGACAGCAGCAGAATTCAGAGTTTGACTGTTACCTGTGTCCAGCCCAGCCTGAAGCGTTAAGACATTCCCCACTGCAAGGGGAATGTTAATCTGGCAGAACAAACGCTGTGAGTTATTGTGTGTTTGCTAATCTGGGGGCTGCCGATTCCCCCCAGAACGTCTCCCAGGCTCTTTGGCCAGGAGAAGCCCTGGCTGTACTGCCTCTGGGCACCAGGTGGCAACACGATGGAGCGCTGGGAGCTGGCAGGGAGCACAGGCAGGGTGAAGCTTGGCTTTGAGTTTTTCTGGGCATGGTTCCAGGCAATAATATCTTTTCCTACCAGTTGTGAAGGATCTGAACTTTGGTTCGCATGAGAAGCTTAAAAAAGCAACTGTTTAAAAACTCGAGTCCCTCCTCTGTCCTGCCTGGTGCTCGAGGCAGTGCAAGGCTTCCGAGTGGGCACGGGCTGGGTGTGGGAGCCCACCAGCTCCCTGAACCTGCTGGGCCTGCTGTAGGGCTGGGGCTCCCCCAAATGGACCTGGAGCTGGGGTCACTGCCTGCCCACTGACAGATGAGGCAAGCAGGGCTCTAAGGACATCACGGTCCATCCTGGCCACAAGGAGAGCAGGAGCAAACACCTCGGAGCAGCACTGAGCACCGTTTGTACCCAGCTCTGGGCAGTGCTGCAGAGCCTCGTGGCACATCTCCCATGGCCACCTCTGGCCACCTTCTGCGGGTGGTTCTGCCCCTCTGACCATTCTGCCGTGTTTTCCAAAATGTGTTGGTTCTTTTGCTGTTTGAGGATTTGTACGTGCGGTTGCAAAGCTTTGAAATGCACGGTGGTGTCCCTCAGAAAGCATTTAAGTGTGAGGGGTTTTTTCTGTGGAACAAGTCATCCCTTTAATTCTGGCTCTCTAGAAGTGACATTAGTGCAAAGCGAGGATGTTCCTGCACAGCCCCTCGGAGGGGCAGGTAGAGAGGAGAAGTTGCACACTGCCAAGGTACCCCTGAGCTTTCAGCCACTTGATTTGAAACAAATGGTTTTCCTGTGGATTGATAAGGGCTCTGTTCAGCACAGGAACAAACAGCAAAGCTGATGTTCTCTCACACACGGTTGTGTCCCTCGAGAGGAAAGCAAGCTTCACCAGTCCAGATGATTCCAAAGGAGTCGTGGGGCTGGGCGGGGAAGTCAGAGGCACTTCCCTGAAGAATAGAGCCCGTAGTGTCTGTGCTGCAACACTGCTCCCCTTCTGTCCGTCTGTCTGTAGCTCTTTGTTATGTCAACATCTGTAGCTGTGAGTAAATAGCAGCAGGGCAGAATGCAGCTTGTGCTGCCGCAGCGCCGGCTGGGCGCGGGCCAGGGCCCGGCGGGGACTGTGCTGCCTCTGTCTGCGCCCGGCAAAGGCACCCGGAGGGCTCCCAAACCCCTCGGGTGGGATGAATGGGATTGCTTGGTGCTCCATTGACTGTGCAATCCGGAACAGCCTCTGGCAGTCCTGGGCAGAGGCTGGGTTGCTGCAGCCTCAGCACCTGAGGCTGTGAGTGTGGCAGGGCACGAGTGTGGCAGGGCACGAGTGTGGCAGGGCACAAGTGCTCGTCTGGGTAGTCTGTGAAAAACATCCCTGTATTCTCTTGTCAGCTCCCATCAGGAATCTTTTGGGCTCTGCTGATTCTTATTTATAAAAATTGTAAATATTTGTGGTTGTATAAATGCTCGGAACTCTTAGGAGAAGTCATTTTACCAGTAAGGACTGTGCAGTCCTGCTCTGCCTGCCCGGAGCCGCCTGCTCTCAGCCAGCTGTGGGCAGAGGGGCTGTGGAGCTGTGTCGGAGCGAAGGAGAGCTCTGTGGAACCAGGCAGTGAGGGAAGGGGGCTGCCTCCATCTGCAACCTGCTTGTAGCGAGGCAAGAAGCCAAAGGCAGAGGGTCAGGGGCTGTAGGGGGGAGCTGCTGGGAGGGGCTCTCACAGGCCCCAGAGGTGCTGAGTGGGAGATGGACAGCGAGGGGCTCGCTGGCTTGGTGGCTCCCAGGGACCCCCAATTGTCACCAGCTGCAGGAGGGACACAGTGCAGGAAGATGTCTTCCCTGAGCACTCTGCTGAGCACCGGGAGCAGCCACACAGTGCTGGGTTCCTGGGGCATTTCCCTGCTCAGGGAGCTGCTAATGAGCAGGTGATCAGCTGTGTCAGTGCAACCTCAGAGCTCTTTCCACAGGAGAAATAAGGTCACAGGTACTTGAAAAGGAACTGTGTTGTGAACTATTAGTTAGATTGCAAAAGTAAACTTTGGAAGCTGTGCTTTGTCTCTCTTCTCCATTGGCTACTGTTGTATCTGGAATCAAAAAGCTGTTTTCCCTGGAGCTGTTTCTGGCAGCCCTGGCCTCTTCTGGGCAGGGCTGCTTTCCCTGGTCCTGCTGTGTCAGAGCTGTTCTGCTTTCCAGGCTCAGTGTATCTCCTGTGGAAATTCACCTTCCAGGTGGGTTTGTGTGCTTGCAGCATCTCAAGGCCGTTGGACAACCCCACTGTGGCACGAGGTGCTGTGCAGGTGAGTGGTGGGAGCCAGTGGATCCCTGAGTGCTGAGGAATGCATTGGGCAAAGGGCAGGCAGGATCCCAGGGACCTGTCCGGGGCCAGGCAGCAGTTCTGGGCATGGAAAAGGGCTGGAGCTGGGGTGAAACACGCTCAGATCAAGTTTTGGTTAGACTTGGTGTCAGAATGTGTCCTGGAGCTGCCTTTGAACAGAAGCACAGTGCCAGTGGCTGGGAGGCTGCTGAGGTGAGCAGCTTGTGCCACACGCCGAAGGGCACGTTTGCACCACAGCTCACAGAGGCTGGATCGGCTGTGCCACCATGGAGGCACATGTCTGTGCATCCACACGGCTCTCCTGCCTGGCAGGTGGGAGCTCTGGGGTCCCTCAGTGCTGCTGGAGAGGTGGGTGTCAGCCTGAAGGAGATGTGGCTGGGTAAATATGCTCATGTTCTACTGTTTACAGAACACTTAATTATTTTTGATAGGTAATTAGTGTTCTGTGTTTTGATGTTTTTACATCGATCTGATACGTGCTACCAAAGACTGTACACGTGGAGTAGGGTGTTCTTCACTTGGTCAGGACCTTCACCTGTCTTTGTTCTGGTGGGTTCAGAGATGCTGCGCCAGGCCCACCAACCATTCTCTTGGTTCCAGCTGATTTTTTTCTTCCTTTGGAGTCTTGACAGTAGATTTTGCTTCCATTGAGCAATAAGGGGAAGACTTAAAAGCACAGAGGACTGTAAGGAATCTCATTGCACTGGAAGGTTGGGTGCCTAATTGCCCTTTGTGCCATTAAAAAAAATCTCTCCATATGTGTTTTGTTTTGTTTGTGAGCTTTTCCCTCCCCACACGGGCAAAAATCGATTGATCAATGTTTGTTACAAAGTTACGAACAAACGTCTCCGGGCTCTTTGCTGCATTGATGTCTCGCAGTGTGTTCTCCTTGCTAACAAAATTAGTTGCAAAGTCAGCAGGAGGTTGGGAGAACAGAGCGTGGGGTTTGTTTGCATAGCACACAGCCTGGCTGCTGCTTGAATAACAAACCCTGCCTCGCGCACACATCTGACCACGGCGCCGGGGCTGGGTTCTGTTTTAGGAATTGTTGTTTGAATAAAAGGTCATTTACTGCCTTACTGAGGGGAAAAACAACGGCATAAATGTACAGTGGTGTGCACACACTGGGGGTTTTCAGTGGGGCACAAAGGGGGTGGTGTGTGGGAGCTGTAAACAGCCAGCGGGCACAACCACGTGTGAGAGGGGTTGGGGTGCCAGCTGGGGGAGCGGGGGGCTCACACCTCTGTGGGGCACAGTGCCACAGAGGTGGGTGTGTCAGGCTCACACCCCAGTGGGGCCCATTGTCACAGGGATGGAGTGTGGGGGGGGGGCTCACCCCTTCCTAGGACCTCAGTCACACCACACCTGTAAAAGCAGGTGGCTGGACATGCTCAGCCTGGGCACCACCTCCCTTT